ATATATATATATATATATATATATATATATATATATATATATATATATATATACATACATAAATAATAATAAATAAATAATAAATAATCCAAGTAACAAGAGCAACTGAAAACATACTGACAGAAATGAAAGCAGAACACCAAACCTACACAATACGAAGCATAGCCATACAGGAAATAAAAAGCTAGGAATAATCAAATTTTTAAAAAGCATCAGAAGCCACAACAAAGAAAATGAAATATACTGGAAATAGGTTGAAACTAAGAAGTTCCAACAGGAATATTAAGGGTGCATTCACATCAGCCCTGTTGTCCCAAGCTCTAGCCCATTTGCCTAGGAAGTCCGGTTTGTTTGGGGAGGTGTGAACGCGCCATCGAACTCTGTCACGGAACAAAAAGGCGAACTCTGGCCCGGGCTAAAACCTAGGTCTCGGTCCGGTAGAAGAGAACTCCAGCGCGGTTTGAGTACAGTGTGAATGTTAGCAGACCGGGCCCCGCTCCACAAGCAGGAAGAGGACTACAACACAGGGCAAACAAACACGCATTTCTCTTACCTCATATGAAGCCGTCGGCTTGCCTTGTGTGAAAAACAATATTCTCCATGGTCTTCTGCCTCATCTTCCACTCATGCTGAGTCCATTGTTGAATAATGACAAAATAGAACTCCTAAAACTGATAAAACTTGACGCCACTCCATTTTTGTTTTTATTTCCAGAAGAAGAAGTGTCTTCTTCAGAGGTTTTTGTATCGCTTCTTTCAGTAGCTCTTGGTGCAGCTCCACCACAGGCGAATGGGGGAACAGGTTGACTCGACTGCACAGTGCAGTGTGAATGCAAATGCACCAGCTCAAATGTAAACAAAATGTTATGAATATTGGTCCCCAACCGAACCGAGTATACCGGACTATCAGGTGTGAAAACAACCTAATATATCAAACACAAACCTCTCAAAGCCATGCTATTCTAGTATTTGGTAACCCTCTATATTTCAGTATAATGTGAGAGTGGGTCAGTAGTATTAAAACAACAAATCCACACAATTATACTTAATGCTGGTATCTCTTCTATGCTATTTCTGTAAAAGTTTGTTATTTTAGCTGCTGTTTTATCCAACCATCCTGATACATGTGGAATTTTCCACATTATTACAATAAATTATGCATGAAAACGTTTCCCAAGTAGCACACACATTTTTAGCCCTACCACCCCTCACATTCCCACACTCAACCACATTCAGTGAGAAGCTGCCTAAAAACAGCCATTGTCCAAGGTCACTTCTTTCTGTTTGGATCTCTGGTCTAAGGATCCCTAAAGTGCATGTCGATCAACTCCCTAGCCAAGATTTTGACATTAGATTTTTAGGATTTCACGCTAGTAAATGACCAAACCTGCTCTCAGATGTACAGGCTGCCAACACCCATTGAGCTCGCCTGTGAGAGTCTACGGTCGTCTCAACAGTAGCTGCTTTATGTCGCTACAGATAAGGACGATACTGCAACTGACTGTTGTGAACGCAGACTCACACACACTCTCACTCTAATCCATCTGTCACCTCCCTCTACCATGCTGGCATAGTTAGAGAGGGAAAGATGCACAATGCATTCCAGAGATTAAATTTTCTGTTCTGCACAGCAGTCCTCCAGCACACAGACTTCCACATACACGTTCTACTCTGATCCCCTGGTATCATCTTACTATCCTGTGGTCTCGTGTTGTCACATGATTCTGATGCTGTTTCTAATTAGAATCTGCTTTAACAGGATTTCTGTGTAACATGTTTTAAACAAAATTCATAAAAATATTTAGGTTTTCAGACCTTGCATATGTTTTGCTTTTAAAGCAACTAATATGTTCACACTGCAGGCCAAAATGGCACAAATCCCTTGTTTTTTTTTTTGTTTTTTTTACCCATATGTGACCCAAATCAGATTTGTTTGACAGTCTGAACATTGCAAATTAAATTGTTTCAAATCTGACCCAGGTATTTTTCATATGTGGTACTAAATCACATGCTTTTCAAGGTGACCTCAGTCTGAACGGTCATGTTGCGTTTCAACGTCAGTGAGGTAGGGGTTAGTGGATCGAGCTTTATATTAAGTATTTTTGATATTAACGTCATGCAGTTGAAAGCTTAGATCTCTTGTCTCCATGTCTTCATCTACTGAACAGAAGTCCAGTTTCTTCGTCTTTTTAAACGTGACATTTGTTATGCCTGGGAGGACCAAGAATCTACAGCAACATATGATACTAAAGTTGGTGTTGGACCATATCCATACTAACCTGGTGGGATTAGAGTTAGTTTCACACTGTTCACTTCTCAGCAAGAATTAAAAGCCCGTAAGATGATTTTCACACATTTTATGCTCCTCAGTGCGCCTCACAGGCATGTGGTCACTGACGTGTGTTTACATCTAAATGTGACAGAAATATACGTAATAAACCTTACAGTTTGACTGAGTTTTTTAATTTTTTTATTAAAGTTTTTATTGATTTTCAGAACATAGGCTGGTTTACCCGACCCCCAGTTATCCCCAGGGTAACAGCACATGCATGTTACAGCAACAAACTTCCCAAAACAAATACCTGCAATTAGCTGGGATGATTCAGAGATCCAAAAAAAATCCAAAAAACAAAGCAGTATCATTTTAGGTCACACAGAGGCCTTATGTAACAACTTTTTACTGAGTCCCTAAATCTGTCCTAATCAGTGTCTCTGCTCCCTTTCAACTTACTGAGCATGGCCACATAAGAGGCTGTGTTGATTTAATCCAATCATTTAACTCAGGACACTTTGTGGTCTTCCAGTGTCTTAAGATGATCCTGGATGCTGTCACAAGATCAACCATAACAACTGAAAGGACTTTTTTTTTTTTTTTAGATATCTTGTATTTGAGATCTGTCTTCCAATAAACACAGTTCTGGAGTCTGAGGGACTTCTGAACCAGACCAGGCACTCAAAACCTCCAAGACTTTAGTCCTAAAGGTGCAACCAGCGAACATTCTCAAAATCAGTGTAAATATGTTCTTACCTCCAACAAAGTTCAGTCAGGTCATCTGGACGGTTTCTTTTTTTGTTGAGACGTTTCATCCAAAGGACTTCATCAGTCCGAAGAGCCACAACAAACTCAGTCCCACAAGCAGCACATTCACATAGTGGACTATCCAGTTTGCTGGTGATAAGCCCGCTCTTTCCCCCGTTGACTCCTCTGAGTCAACCATAGCTAAAGTGGTTCAAAACATCAAAGTTCATGCTCAATAATCCAGATAAAAAAAATCCAACAAATTTCAGTCAGGTCATGTTCCCACCTCTTTTTTTTACATTTCCAACACAAATTGTCATTTGTTTTATTCTGTGCAGTCTGGTAAGAGTATGATAATATCTACAATATGCAACAATATACTGTGTACATTTATTTCTTGCCTCCTTCACGTATTTGCCACTCTCTGATAGGACGTAAGCATTTTTCATTTGTGCACTCAGTTCTCAAATCCCTCTGCCACAAAAGTTTGATGTTTGATGATTCACTACCCAGTTATAATTTAACTGAGGTTGTTTTGATCATTTTTGAGGCGTGTTAGATGTTATGTTGTTTGAGGTTCAACGTAGTTCAGTTTCTTTATTCATATTTAAACCATAAATTATAAAATCTGTAAAAAACAACAAACATTGTGTTTACCCTTTAAGTTCAGAAAACCAAACAGAGTAATATTTATGATGTATTTTGGTGAGTTTCAGTACTTTTTGTAGAAAAGTAAAAGTTTGCGTGGAGATGAGCGTTTTATCTCAGCAGGTCAGAAATATGCTTATATTTCCACCACTTTCACGCACCCAACATGTGCATGGAACCTGGCGCATGCAACCTTTTCATGCATACGCACTGATGATACATGAGGCCCCTGCAATGTAAACCGGCCTAATTTGGCTAGAATTTAGCAAAGAGCCAACACAGACTTTTTATTTTTAGTCTTTTTTTAATTTATTTTTTAAATAATATTCCTTTTTTATAATTCCACATTTCAGTAAAACTCATAAATTTATCAGTTTGGTGAAATTTTAAACCTCATTCAGCCGTTTAATTTACGTTGAACGCATAGGCGTCGCAACCATTATATGTGAAGGGGACAAGTCCCCCCCACATTCCAAAAATGTTCATTTGGACCCCCCCACTTTTACTATGGAATATTAGTTCAAGCGGCGCAGTTTCTCTTTCTTCGTGAACGAATCCATTCCACTTGATTAATAGGAGAATACTCAAACCACTAAAACGCCACTCCAGGTTTTCCTGATTACCTCCAAGCCACGGTCACAATATACGGTGGTCACAGAATATAGTGTAACACCTGCAGTGTTTCTGTGCGTCTCCTTCTGCTTTGGCAGAAAACGCGCACAGGTGGAGGAGATGGACCGACCTCGCTTGCCAGTTTAGTGAGCTTAGTGTGGGCAGTTGTTGACCAGGGGGTTGATCATAAACATGTAGTCATGTTAGGAGGAGAGAAGTGGAGCGCTACATCTGTTGCATGTTATCTTAGCAGTAACTGTGACGCTGTAAGACGCTGCAGGTGTAAGAGACGTGGTGTGTTCAGGTGCATTAAAGTTGATATGTCTTTAAAACCCCACACCTTATTGTCCTCAAACTTCATGAGAAACATCATTTAGATGAGTAGTGTTGAACACAAGTAAAAAAAGTTTAGTGGTGGTGTTTTTTATTTCTCTATAAAGACAAATAGTGCCGACCTGACGCTCTGCATTAAAGTGTATTAAAGTTAAAATTACTTTAACCCACAGCTGAATTTACACAAACTTGGTGAGAAACATGCTTTAAATTAAAGGAAATCTAGGTGAAATGTTGCTTTTTTTGTACAGTAGTGAACACTTTTTAAAAA